ACTCAAGTCTCTCTGAACATTGTTCTTAGTTGCCCCAGCACCAAGAGAAGCTCTCAATTTGATAACAATGTTAACTAATTCATCTGAGAGCCCTTATATTTTCTGTGCACCCAAAGCAACTAGCTTGGTGAAGGCGAGTGCTTTCTCAGTTTTTTGCCCTGGATCTTGCCTCTCGGCTAACATTGCAAACTTCTGACTTATGTGTTACCTCTAATCTATATTAATTTCAGTTAATGTGTCCTAAAACAGCACTAGAGCTAGACGTAGTAAAAAATAAGACCCTAGAGCAAAGTATTCATTGTAGGAAGTTGAGTATCAGATATCTATAAAAGAAACTAAAAATGATAATATGATATAAGCAGGGTTACAGTAAATACAGGTTTACATAGCTTGTTTTTTTTGTTTGTTTCCTACCATATTTATGGGAAACACAATATCCAGTTATAGTATAATTTTTTATTTGCTCAGTTAATTTTTTTCTCTTCACTGTGTCCTCCCCACTTCTGTAACCAAACCTGCGCCCAGATTCATGGATTTTTTTAAAGATCCCCTGCAGACATGATTTAAGACATACACAAGTAGTCTGCTTAGAACAATAATTCATCATTTCCAAAAAAAAGGGTAAGATCAACTCCTTCTTCCTCATTAGAAATTCCAGAATATACGAATATGCTAATTTTGTTCATTTCTTAAGTTTTCTTACTGGGTGTCTCACTGTAAAGTCAATTCTCACTATATGTGCACTGGTGGTTTCAAGGTTCTACATCACACTTGTAGAAGTTGCATACGGGACCAGGATTGACTTCAGAACGGACTGATGTCACAAATCCTGCTCTTAGGCCCTGCTCCTTAAAAAACTGATTTTCAGTGAGCACAGAAAAACGTTTCACTTTCAGCAGATGAACGTGAAAGCATCCCTTTCTAGTGTCAAACTCTGCACATACATCATTCTGCACAGCGAAGCTCAAACATCTAACTGTAATAACAGGAAGAAAACCATATTTTTAAGTGGAGGAGGGGACTTTAAAATAGACACATTTCCAGCTGCGAAGTGATTTCACCAGCTCTCACCTTATTTGTTCCTTGCCTTGGTGTGTATGCTGCACTGAGCAGGTGGCAGACTCTAACTGCGTGTTTGGAGAGCACAAGGTCCCTCTAAAATTACATACAGTAAATTTCCACCTTCAAAGTTGCTCCAACCGATGTGTGGAATTTAGTGCACTGGTGAGTTTAAGGTTTAGCTATATTTGCCTTTTTTTTTAAGGCGTCAGTGATACTGCTGGGTGCCCCGCTGCCTAGGCTTTAGAGATTTTTCAGTGCAGGTGAAACTGGCTGAACCTCACGCTGATTTCATTTGTATCTTCCACTGAGCAGTGCGGTTTTCATAATGATACCAGGTCCATGAACACTCACATTGCATGGATTAAAACCACCACATCACTTAACCTCTCTTGACCTGAAATAATAAATGTGTTATTTGCACTTGCAATTGTACCAATGGAGAATACATTTAGGCTTTTGTTCTTGTTATTTGTGACTCTGTGACACAAAATTCAAGGCACCATGAGGACCAGACAAGGATGTAATTTCCTCTTGGGATGAGGTGTTCCTCCTCACTGTTATCAGAACAGTCCAAATCCCAAATATATTCAATTTGATATGAAAACAGAGAAAAGCAGCAAATTTTTGGAAAAAAAAGATTTGGAAATCTTCCTAGATAAATGGTGATTGATGACACAAGGGCTATGTTCTTGACACAGGTTTTGGTTATAGATGCAAATACATTATTATTTTCAGGTCTTTATTATTTAATTAAGATGTAAATTTCAATGGGATGAAGCCATTAATAATACAGAAATAAAGGCAGAACTTTTGAAAATCCAATAACTTTAATAACAGCATACCTAAACCCTTGCCTATCCCAGACTTTACCATGCAGTGTACATATGTTTACATTTGGTTCCTCTGTAGGCCCTTCCAGATGCTGCTGCTCTCCCTCCTCACAGACCCGGCTTTACTTTCCACCCACTGCTGAAATAAGAGACCACAGAGGAAGTATTCGAGCATGTCTTACTTGGCATTTCCTGGTCAGGGGCTGGACAGATTCTTTTTACTCCTCTTTGCCCTTACTGTCATGTCCACCCTTCACTTCACGACGTTTGTGTTGTTAGTGCCGAGTCCTGAGGTTTTTTTTTTTAGGCACAGTGTTCTCTTTGCTGCACTGTATTTAGATTTCTTTTTGCAGCTGTAAATACACACATTCTTGCCAAAATCTTGTTGGTGTGCCTTCTTCATGAGTATAATGATAGGCTGGATAGATTTCTTTTTTTCTTAGTCAGGAGTAGGGATATGAGAAATGTCATTTGCACTGTGCAGTGTGTTTAGAAAGCACTGTTTGAGCTTATTAATCTTAATAGAGACAACATGGTAACTCAGAAAAGAAATGTGTCAACTTCAGACTTGTTTTTGCTTCATTTAGATCACATTTGGGTTTTGTGTTCTTGCTTGATTAACAATAAGTTGTTACTTACAACCTGGATTCACCCTTGGTGGAATTTTTTTCTTTTCTTGCTTTGTTGACTTTATTGGACACAGCTCATAGAATGTGGCAGGAAACATGAGGAGACCATGTTCCCTGAATAGATTTGCACAGATTATTTTGCAGTGTCACACCACTTGTCCACCAAATAAGCATTTTTAACAAAAATATTTTGAATATGAGGAACATATTAAACACACAGGGCCTTTCTTCGTGTGTGGGCGTAAATGTGAAATGTCTAAGTGTCATCTCTGTGATAGATAGTGTGTCTGTGGCGCCGGGATATCCTCACATGACCCAACAAAAACTAAATGGTAATACATAATGGAAGGAGCTTCTAGTAGCTTGTGTATGTATAATTACAACTTTCTTTGGCAACTGCAGTGATTTTCATGTGTTTTTGGCCACCTGATGAATGTAAGTCCAATATTCTCTCTCTTTTAGCTGTTTTTGGTCTCTACCAACTCCTGAGGGAAATGACTGGCTCTTTAGCTGCCAAATGCTCCACTTCATTCACCAGTTAGTTGCTAACTGTCTTTCTGCTGTTTATTACTGAGCTGGTAGTGTCCAATGAGTTTTTAGAGCTGTCTCCTGAGAAAAAGCTGCCTTCTGTTGCCAGAAACACCATTATGAGCAGTGAGATTGAACCAAAACATTAGAGTTGTGGGTTGGACAGCTAAACAATGAGCGGAAACTTACTATAAAGCTCCATAAAGCCGTGGGGAGCTGCAGATTCAGGCGATAAATCTCTGTATTTTCATCATTACGAGCGACGCCCTTTCACTTTTTTTTGTCAGTTAATACATTGATATTATAAAAATACTGATTATTGCCACATTTTTCTGATTATATAAACTGGCGAATACTGTTTATTCACAGTGCAACCTCACCCAGTAGGTTTTTTCTAACAAACTGATGCATCGAGGTAATCAATCTATATGTAGACACCAACATATCTGCAAATGTGTTTGAGGATAATCAGAAAGAAATAGCAGTGAATAAATGCCAAAAATATGTGCAAGGTAATTTAGAAACAGACATAGATTCATTTACCCAGCACTCAGAGAAACAGCACTTGTGTAATAATGACTGCACACAACACATTGTTCTCATATTAAGTAAAAAAAAATACAAAGTTATGCCTATACCTCAATGCAGTTTGATGTTGTGCGGAAATGTAAAAAGAGTTTTAATTGTAACAGTTAAACAAATTAAGGAATAAATATAACTTCAATCTGTAACATCTTTCTCAGTGGATGTCCATGTTCACACATGCTTATATCATGATTTAAGGAACAGTGAAACAGAGCTGGACGTTGGCTTCCTTATGCAGTCCACCTAAATATTTACCCTCAGTTACATTAAGTATACAAAAAAGAGGCCTGAAACGGATTATGTTTACTGGGAATCAGTAGGTGCAAATGTTTGTGCTCTCTTAAGTGTGCCACTGGCAATCAAGATGCTGCATTATCACCAGCTAATTTACTTAAAAGGAGGATGCAATGCAGCTACATCTTTTTGGTTCTTTAATGTCGAGATTGTTATTGTTTTTATTTTTATTGTTATCACGATAACAGTATACATAACTATACAGTAATTATTTCATAAATCCTATTAAGAAATGGAATTATAAGATAATAATAATAATTATAAGAATAATTGTTGGACCGCAGCCTCCTGCCAGAGAAAAGTGTTTCAAAGAGTCTGTGTCTGGGGTGGGAAGGGTCAGCCACAATCTTACCTGCACAATTACTGTAGTTATAGACACCACAGTAAGTACCAGCTTATTATTGCTGTACCTCTCAATGAAAGAGCAAGATCTTCCTGAGGACTATTTTTCACTGATATCAGCCATCAGCCACAGCCTCTAATGAGGCAAACATGACAATTGTTCCTAACCCATAATTCAATACTATCAAATGAAATGTTGAGTTTTGAATAAGAGTGGTGACAGAACAGTCAGCACGCCCACCTCCATGTGTACAACCTCAGTGTGCACTTAATAAAGTATACTTACCTTGGAATGAAAGCAGCAAGATTGCAGCTGCTCTCTGTGGGTAGTCAGAAATAACTAATTGAAGTGGATCACACCAGGCAGGCTTAGAGAAAGTGAGGACCTAGAAATTACACATGAAACACATGCTTTGAATTCTTTGAACACCACGATATCTGAGCTTGTATGAGAGACTGTCTTGTATGACAGAGTTTTTTTTTCTTCAGTTCATTAAAAGCGTAAATGGGGACGTATGGCTGGATTGAGACATTGTTACTCATCATCTCGTTCAGTGTGAAATCCTGGTGGCACTCAATAAATCTTGGTGAAGCGGTAAAAGGGCCCCAAATTGTGTCTACCTGCGTCATTCCTTCCAATTGATCAGGCACACTATAATTACTGGCTCCAGTGGAATTTCTGTCCTTTGAAGGAGGAAGGGTGCACTAATTTGAAACCCTCTTTTTCCAGGCAGGTCTGATCCGGACTGATAATGGGGAGTTTTTCATCGAGCCCCTTGAGAAGGGCCAACAGGACGTGGAAGTGAAAGGGCGGGTCCATGTGGTCTACCGCAGGTCAGCCATCAAGAGGGAGACGGGGCAACGGAGAGAGGACCTCCACAATGAAGGTAGGCGAGGAGAAGCAGTGTGATGTCAGTGGAAACATAAAGCACTGTGTGCATTTGTGTGTGAGTATGTGTGGGTGTGCATGTGCGAGTAAGTGCACTGGAGGTCATAACAGCCAAGACTTTATGATATATATCATACAGAATACAACGACAATGTTCAAAATAAATGAATAAATATAATACAGGCAATGGTTCAAATGCATTTAAAGCACCAGTGGTTTTGCCTGTTATTATCATGTTATTATCTTTACAGTCATGAGGACGTTTTTTTCCTTTACTTTAGTACAGATGCCAAAACTCAAACAGTTTTTTTGATACTCAACTGTGTGGTATATAATTTTTTTAATTTTATTTAAAGTAAATATTTTTTATATTAACATAAAATGAAATTACTATGTCTAATATGAAAGGGATTACTCGTATGACAAACCCACAGCTAATTATCACTAGACTCTGTAGTTATGCTAAAACGGAGCATTTTAGTGTCATTTTGTTAGTGTGTTTAGCTCCGTGTTTTGGTCTGCCACTTTACTGTTGCTTCACTCTCAACATTCTTGCAGGCAGCTGTTTTCTACTAAGCTCTGCTCAAACCACCGTACGCTACATGTCCTGCACCAACAACATAGTACACAATCATAGTTAGTAAATAGCTGGTGAACATAGTGGAGTATTTAGCAACTTGAAAAAACTAAGCTAAACAGAAAGTGGATATTAGATAAGCCAGAGACATGACTCCAAAGGAATGCAAATGTTGCTTCACGTGTGCTAGTTCTGTAATGGGCAACTGTTTGCCTAAAGACAGCAAACTTCCCAAATGTTTAACCTTTTCTCAACATAAGTAGCATGAGAACTTGCCTAAAGCAAGATTATGAGTCTGACCAGTCTTTTAACACCAGCTTTTAGTACTTGACAGGTTTTTTTTACCAGGTGTTACAGACACATTCTTACTGTTACTATCAAATTTGGAGGTGGCCCTTATTTCAACACAAGAGCCTGCTGATTTATTTAGATACCAAACTGAAATGGATGGAAACCAGTGTTTGGACAAATACATACCAAAATCTAAAACCCTGTAACTTTTGGTACTGGCTTAAACTCCGCCGCTTTTAAATAACTATCACTACTTTGCATTTATTGGGCTTAACAGCAGAGGCAGCGATTCCTAAACCAGCTGGTAAAGTGAAGAATGCTGGGCTCCAGTGGTGGTACTGGGGAACGAGGAGGGTGGGTGAGTCGGTGAGAAGGAGGAGGAGGAGGAGGAGGAGAAGGGGTGACCTCTCCTTTGCACTCAGACAACCCAACTCCATCATGAATTCCTTTTCTATTCCTTATTTGCTACAACAATGGCTTGAACATCTGGTGGAAGACGCTCACTATACTCACTAATTCACTCCATTACCCAGTGTCTGTAGCTGTAAAACTGATGTGTGGGTCTTTTCACTTTACTCTGCAGCCCCCTAGCTCATACATCCTCAGGAACAATATTAATCAAGTCACTCATTCACATTTTCCGAGCCCTTTTTTGCTTTTACCGCCCTTGTGAAATGCATTGTGTTCATTTTTATCACAGACTGCATTCTTCTATAAAGTGATGCAGCTGTCTGATGTTAGATTTGCATCTAGGCTTTGCATGTGAATATTGTTGCACCTTTTTTATTCATTTCTGTACCAAAATACCTTCAATCATGAACTCGCTCTAGCACGATGTTATTCACAGAGAGGAGAGCGTTAGTGTCCTGTATTTTTGGCTTTGTTCAAACTAATTTTACACACTGCTTTTCACCGTGTTACTTCTGGGTTTTTCTCCTTTATGTCCCTGAGGGTGAACCAACATCCCAATTAAGGCTTAAAACAGGTGATCGTAAAAATCCTACTTGAACTGAAATGACATTTTACGCTCTGTTGTTAATGTTAATGTCTTCATCCAGACTTTTATCTGTATCTGTTATCTAATAATATGTATGAACTACATTTACAGCTTCGCAAACAGTTATTTTGTTTACTTGCGTATTAAAAATAGTTAACTCTTAATTTGCTCAACAACTGGTGCAATTAAGTTGTTATGAATGTATCTATTCATTTCTTTATTTATATTCTCAAGGGATTTGCCTGGAGCCAGTTGTTTGAATGTTTTTAGAACACTGCATCTATCCTTCAATTGCTTTTTTCTGCATAGTACTTATGAAAATACCTTCTCCAATGGATTTTCTGGTATTCATTCATAATGTGTCATGTCTCCTTTTATATCTGGATGCCTTGAATCACTACTGTCTTTTAGAAAAGATTGCAATAATTTATAGCTTCAAGGAGGAAAACATGCCTTGAATATTTGAGCAAGTCAATGTCTGCCAGTCGACACACATTATGCAGTTACATTTAAACATATTATCTCCATCAAGGATTTTTTTTTTTTTGTCTGCTTGTTTACATAGAAGAACTTAAGAATCTGGTAATTTACTTCTTTGAAATAGGTAAAAAAATGAAGCATCCTATTTTGAATGAATTTGCTGTGAACAATAATTGGCGCATGTCTCTCATAATGGTCCAAAAATATTCTAGTGTTGTGCAGTCTTGACAGGGTATCTTTGAGTCCTTTATATGTATTGCTTCTGTGATGTTTTTTTGAAACTGATTATATTTTCAGTTTATCTAGTGTATGTTCCCAACATGTAGTTTTACTGTGACCTCAAGCTGCAAAAATGTACACAATTTATGTCTTTCAGTGAGTGTTTCAACTCTGACAAACAAAACCTTAGATTTAACGACATACTGTGCACAAATATCACACATGCTGAAAACAGCTGAAGGGCTTTATTATTATGTTTGGAACTGGTATGACTCAGCTGGGATTTATGCTCTGAATGCACATATAGAGGAAATACATTTCTGATTCTGTAGGCCAACGATTTATGAGTCTGAGGAGCTTTGAGGAGTATTTTGACTCAACATTGAGAGGCTTAGAGAATATAGAGTCATATATCACTTCCCAGAAGCTGAAACCACTGTCCATTCATTCACTTGTTTATGTGCCGGACATATTTTGCAGTGGCAGACTTCGGGATCGCAAACCTCCCTGCGGCTCTGGATGTCGTTGAACATAAACTGTCTGAGTCCGAGCGCAAGAGGAGGCACGCGAAGAAAGACGACTACAACATTGAGGTGCTGCTTGCGGTGGACGACTCCGTGGTGCGCTTCCATGGCAAGGAGCATGTGCAGAATTATGTTCTCACGCTCATGAACATAGTAAGTCTGGTTTTTCAATAAAATACTCATCAAATTAAATGCACATATTATACACATAGCCATTGAGTCTGACGTCTAATAATCAGAAGATTGGCGGTTTTATCTCCGGCTCCACACTCTGCAGAGTGTCCTTGGGCAAGATACTGAACTCCAAATGGCTCCTGATGCTGTCATTAGTGTGTGACTGTGTGTGAGAATGGCTTTAGGTGGTCAGTGCAGTCTATTTACCAATCAACAAATTCTCACCACCTGCTCCCTTTTATATGTATTCACAATATGATATTTTCTTATTATTGACTAATCGATTGATTAATAAATTGTCATGAAATTGTATTTAAAATGTTAATAGAATAAAAATGACCCACCACAGTTTCAGTGACTAATCTTTGCATTTCTAGAAATGATCCTTTGTTGACATGAAAACGCTACAGCGTTTGGGGATCTTTTTTTTGCCTTTATCTACCTATGGAGTTATTTTTTCCTCTTTGCCCTCTCTATTGTCAGACCTTGCCACACTTCTCCCCAGACTCCCCTCTTTCTCTAGCTGTTTATGGATTACCGATGAGAGGGAGGAAAAAGAGAAACTCTCAGCTCATTCATTACGGGTTCCACCAGCTCCTACCACCATAATCTACTTACTGGTCCCAAAGCCCCCAAGTCAGATTTTCACAGGGTGCTGGTTTCACTCTGTAACAGTTACCATTTGGACCCTGCATGGTGGTCTGATTAGCTGCACTAGACCAATTAGAAAGTTGAGTGGGAGCTGTGCGGGGCAGTCATGGAAACCAGCGCCAGAAGTCCGCTCGCGCTGCCAAGCTCTGCTAACTTGGAATGATGTGTTTATTTAATTAGGATATTATATTCACATTCTGTCTCCAAATGTCTTCGGCAGAGAGAAATGTCTGATTTTTAATGACCAAAGCTGATTAAACTGTGAAGTGGCTGTGAGAGTGTGCTCTTTAATTGTCAGTCCTCGGTGTCTAGTGCTCTCTGATAAGCACTTACAGTTATTTCAAATCATTGGCAGGAGAGGTGAGTTTCAGGAAGTCCTTAGGGTTGAAATTGGACTGAGCTATAAGTGTAATCAAGCAATTTCCTTAAAAGTAATATCTGTATAGTCACCTTCATGCTGAGTAGAATTTGATAAGAGAAATGTGCAACTTCTAGAAAGAAAGGTGCAGTTTAAACAAATGAGGGTCTAAAGTCTTTAGTTCCACTCATAAGCCATAGGCTTGCTGTGTCTGAAAGAGCTCTGCCCACTCAAATCCCTCTGAATCCGTACTTCGTGGCTGCAGAATGTGTAGTACCACCTGGAGAAACTCTCCCTGGGGGATTGATTACTGAACATCCTGTCTGCGCGAAGCCAAGGTGACGGCCGAGGTGCCTGCCGCACAATGGTTGTGTTGTTTGAGCACGGACCAGGTTTTGTCCACGTCGATGTGATGCTGTACACAAGCCAGGGACACCTAGGGCCTGTAACCCACAGCTGCTACTCTCATTTTCAGCCACAACAGTCCGATTCCTGCACCTCCTCCTGGCTTTGTAATTATCCCTGTATACGTGGGGTTGGCCCAACCCTTAGCAGGACTCACCAAAATGTTCTTTTAAAGCTTGAATGCATAGACCTGATAGTCTTATCAGGAAAAAAAAATGCAACTTCAGTGTTTACAAAAGTCGACATGGAACTTTTGTGATGCTGTCCTCATTTTTTAACAGCTTTCCTGTTTCAGGTCCAACATAAACACACGTATATAGGTCAGTCTGGACCAGTCTAGAAATTTGAGCTTGTAACAAATCTGGGAGAACGTGGGGTCACTTGAGTGTTCTTTACAGCATTTATTGACCTGAATAGGCTTTTGTGAATGGAATATTTGCTTAAATGCCTTGGGTGTAACCCTGCGTCCCAGAGCAAATTTGGACTTAAGCCAAGATAGCCTTCCTTCATTGACAGAGCTTTTGTTCTGCACGATCATAATTTTTACCCAGAGAAAGCTAGCTGACACGCACTTGTTGGTGTTTAAGCAATGAGTAGCACTCTGTTATTCTGTTTGCCATATCTGAACCTTCTCTGCATTTTTGTCTTTTATGAGCCTGCACAAGAACAGATACTGAAAGATACTGACAGAGGCCATGTGATGCCTCTGGTTTTGGCATCAGCACTCTTCACATAATGAAAACAACCCAATCCTAAGACTGAATTTAGATAATGGTTAGCTCTAATGTCTCTTCTTAAATCAAGAAAACAAAGAGCAGAGATTTCATATGAAACTACGTGAAATATAAAAAGAAACTAGAGCGGCTGCTTAGACAGTGAAAACAGCGCTGGTGAGGTCTGTGTGTCCTACTGCTTTCTTTTTATTCGTTTATTTGTTTATACATGATCTTTGCTATATGGATGGCTGGTTGTCCCTGGAATCCTGCAGATATGTATGCTCATATGCTGTCTCTTGGGTCAGGATTGTTATTCTGCTTATGGACAGAAATAAACATCCCAGCTGCACCTCTGCTGTAGCGTTAATGAAAACATTGAACTTGACCTCAGGGCTCTTGTGAATTACAGTGTCTAGCGACACCAATTATTCGATAACATTTGGTTGATCAGTGTTGCATTTTATTAATGGGCTGAAAAGTGATACAAAAAAAAAACATGGCCAGCATTGTAAAGCATAAAAACACAGTTGAAATAATAAACTGGATAAATGTCAGACTGTAAACATTGACACTACACTGAAGCGGAGGTTGTTCATAGCACTGTAGCAACTATAGTCAAAGCATGAGCACATACATCCAGATCTGAATATTGTTGGCACAGTGGTGAGAGAGACACTCTATAGAAAGTTTTAAAAGTAATGAAAAGAGGCTCAAACTTATTCTAGCTGAGAATAATGTGGTGGAAACACAAAGAATCCACTGGGGCTTTGACAGTCACTAGAAGCACATTCATGCCTGTGGATGTACTCTATGCATAGTTATAGCATATGTAGAATTCAAATACTTTGCACTAAAATGTCAAGATTTGTGCCTAAATCAATCAACAACAGTTTAGGGGTTTAGTTGCTCTTTAACAACAGAGGAAGACTTTGGCAATTAGACTCCATCTATATGAAGGGTCTTCATTAAGCGTAGGCTCATATGAAGACAGGAGATCAACATCCTGGAGGTGGTGGAGTAAAAGAACATCCTGGTTCTAATGGTGCTGATTGGTGAGGTGTTGGATCTCTAAATCTGAAAGACAGAATGACAAAATTTTAATGATATTTAAAGAATTCAAAGGCCAATTGGCTCGAGTAATGCGGGCAGAAAGATCATAGGTCAGATATGATGATCCGAATTGTAAATTAAAAACATAAAACGGAGTAAAAGTTTAAAGTTGTTCCATTGCGCCCACCCATGGGTATTATTAGTTTTCTCAATAGTGTAATCTTTAACTTCAGTTCAGTGCCCACGTAACAGAGTTTTAAGGTCTTTCTTGCTGAAATTGCCGAAAGTGAGAAAATATGCATATTTTTTTGTGATTTTGGTGCACTGACCCCAGTTTTAACTTGCAAGAGCAGCTGTGCTGATATGAATGTGTTCATTTTCAATAAAAACCTTAACAGAAATATGATATTGCACAAATGATGAAGATGATAATAAATTATATGCAAATGTTACATGAATTATTTTCCAAGCTTGTAACACAACATATCAAGTTAAATTTATGAGTCTGTCACACACAGTGTCAACCCACAACGTGCCTTGAAATTTTGTAAAAAAATGTGAGGGTGCTTTGTGAGGCTAAATGACTGTTTAGCAGTTGAGTCGCCCAGTTTGTTTGGCACGTTGTTAATTACGACCCATAACCAACATGTCCCAACTAAATGACTTACTGATTTATGGAAAACAAAATATTCACCCCTTATTTTCCTCTGAAATTGTATTTATCAACCGCAAAGTGAAGCAGTTGATTGACTTTGGGGCCCCATAGGAGTGCCGACATGTAGCGACCATTTGAGGAAAATAAAACACACTCGAGTGGAAATTGAAGGTGGGATTTGAAGGGGGTCCTTGCTTAGACCTGGGTTAAGCATCATCATACCACAGCATTATTATAAAGCCAAATAGCAGTCGACACATTTCTGGGTCAGGATTTTTTTGTCATTGCATAATAATGCTGGTTTTATTGGATTGTTGCCAACGTCTTAACATATTTCATCATGATTCCAGGCTTGTTGTAAGAGATGAAAAAAAAACTCCCTTGTGATTAGATGTTCTGCTTCTGGAACACTGTACATCAGAAAGAAAAAAAAATCTGGCAGTGAAATCTGTGTTTTTGCACTGTGCACTATCAGAGAAGATTAGAATAAATGTTTACTACTTGCCTCATTCAATTTCAGATTTCAAGATATAGGTGAATTAATTGGCTGGATACTGCGTTGCTAATGAATATTTATGCCTCTGAGCAACACAAACAACTACAAAGAGCATTCATCTTCTCTTATTTAATTTACTGTCCCTTTATTTTACCTGGAAGTCCCACTGAGATCAAAAATACATTTTACAAGGTAGCAGCCGTATAAAATCACAACATATTAAAAGGCGACCTATACAACATGTACAAAAATTAGCCATTCATACACAGTAGCCTCTTGAGATAAAGAACCATATGCCTCTGTCGCCACATTTGTATGATGCCCTTTAATACCCCAATGAATATTCCCAAGGTGCATAGTAGGGAAATGCAGTTTTCCCTAGATCTGTCAAAACCCGGGGGACATTAAAAGCAACCACCTGGAGGAGGAGCGTAGCTGGTAACTTCCAGAGCTGAGACAGAGAAGGCTACATAAATATGCTGGAAATTTACCCAGTATCTCTTTATAGATAAAATAATCTGTGCTGTTGTCTCTTAGTGGTCAATAATGTTCAACCCATGAAATCACTGGGACTTTGCATTTGTACGTAACAAACAAACATAGAGGTTATTATTATTATATATCAGGCATGCATATATATGTCATTGTAAAAAAAGTAGCTTTAACATATTTCAAGCTTAAAAGGAAGTAAAGGTCCTGCTTTCACAGCATGGGAAAGGTTTATCCACCAATGTTATGTCCTTTACTTCTTTATCTCTGTGCCTTTGATTATCCTCGGTATTAACCACCAAACCACCAAACACTAGCTGCTGAGCTTGCTGTGTCAAGTTTCATAATGTTACTCAACAGATTTCTGAGAACCAAGCTATGTTTTTTTTCCCCAAAGCCTTTTAAAGCCAGTTGAGTCCTTTGATTTGCATTTTTAGAGCAGCCGTAATTAGCATATTAGCATCTTAAATTATTTTCAGTACCTACTTACTTTTAAAAACCTATTTATTCCTCAGTAATGTATCCCTTGGAAACAGTGTTTGTATTACAATGCTCTGCTTTAAGGACAGCCATGTACATGACTGTCCTTTTGGCCTGTACGTGTTTTGCAGGCTCAATATTGTGAGATGTTCTTAATCACCTTAATGCATTGTGCTTCTTTCATCTTTCAGATCAGTGACAGATGCTGTTCTTCATTTCCTTTCAGGTTGATGAAATCTACCACGATGAATCTTTGGGAACCAACATCAACATTGTCCTTGTCCGCATGATAATGGTCGGGTACCGACAGGTGAGTCGCAGTGTGTTATTTTCTGTATGTGGAAATAAAAGTTCTTTATTCTTAAATTGGTGTTTGGGTAGCCTCCACAAAGTTATCCCTAGTCTTCCTGGGGTCCACACAAAAATGATAACAATAAGAACAAACAACAATTTAAAATAAAATCAATAAAACAGGAAAACAGAAAGTAAGCTAAATATAAAACTCAGAAACTAAGTGAAATTAGTCTACATATGAAAACAATTAAAGTAGCTTCAAGTGGAAACAAAAACAAAATTGTCACAAACACACAACACCAAAACAATAAATATACTGTAAACAATATATTTTCAAAGACATTTGGTGTAGGACTGTGTTTGAAACTAAACATATTTTGGCCCTATGACCCCCTGTGAAGCTGTGGCGACCACTAGTGGGAACCACTGATTTAAACCTATGTAGATGATTACTCTAGGCAGGAAAGGGAAAATGCTCATTTGTCAATATGTCAAACTATTCCTGAGACTGACTGCGTCAGTGCATTTATTAAGTGGCTGGATTACAGTCGGCTTTCTGCAGTAATCTTGTTTCTTTAACATCATGTATATGAGAAACCTGGTTTCCGTTAATTGGGGTAGGGGATTAGTGAAATCTGAGCTAGACTTCTCTCGGAGAAAGACGGCCATATACATATATATATATATA